CCCTTGTGGTCTCTTCCAACTCTATGATTCTATGATTCGATGATTCTAAGAACTATTCTCATATTTTCTTGAATCTGCCTTCCTGGTAGAAAACCCACTTATTAGAATGGATAATATCCTTTAATATCTTTTTGAGTCTTTGTGCTATTCAAGATGCAAAAAGTTTGTAATCAGTATTCATCAAAGAAATTGATCTGTAATTACCAGGTTCTTTAGGGTCTTCCCCTCTTTATGAATTAGTGTTATATTAGCTTCTGTCCACAATTCTGGTTTTTATCCCTTCAAGATCCAGTTACATGTTTTTTTGAAATTGTAGTTTAAAAAAACTCATCTCCAATTTTTTATAATATTCCATACTAAATCCATCCACACCAGGTGCTTTATCATTTTTAGAATTCTTAATAGCTTCTATTATTTCTGCTATTGTTATTTATTGGTTTAGTATGTTTGTTGTTGTCCTGTTAACATTGTTAGTTCCTGGTTTCTATATATTTTTTCATATTTTTTCTCATCTGTCATTAACTTGTCCTGAAATAATTTTGTATAAAAGTGAAAGAGCCCCTATTTCTGAGAGACAGACTGGAGTTGAATATGGATGAAAAGGAGGAAACAGGAGTAGTAGAACTAGTAGTGATCGTGGTAGTAGTAATGCTACTAGTAGAAGCAGTAGCAGTGAGACCTTCCTCCTTTGCCTTTCCCAGATCCAGGTTGGACATCTGGCATTTCTCCCTCCAAATATGCTAAAAGTCTTTGTTGTAGAATTTTGAGCATCACTTTGCCAGTATAGGAAATTAATGCAAAGGTCTTGTAGTTACTGCAATCCCAAATGTATATTGAGTGCTTCCAGTCTGTGGGCCATTGTTTTGTTTTCCATATTTGTTGACAGATTTTAGTTAGAACTAGAGTAGGTTCTGTCTCTGTAGCTTGAAGCAACTCTCTAGTATACAATATATTCCTGGATATTTATTTCTCCCAAGCTCTCTAAATGCAGCTTCAACTTTACTTTCTAAAATTGTAGCTTCATCTTCAAATGGTGCTTCCTTGAATGAATTTGTTATTCATTGAACTCTTTTATACAGTTCTACAGTGTATTGTTTCCATCATCCTTTTGTATGTACTTGGTCATGTAACATGTCCCCCTGCTGGTTGTATAACACCCCCATTCTTAGTTTAAATTGTTCGGTTTTGGTGGAAGAGAGTATTTGTAAATCCAGCAGAATCAGGAAGCAAAAATCCAAGCTTCTAAAAATTGAGCTTTATTGTTGAAAGAATAATAACAACATGCAGAGTAAAACACACAGTCTACTAAAGATCACATCTTGCAGGTGTGGCTAAACAGGAACAAAACTACAGATCCATGTTTGCAGATCTTGAGGCTACATTGTGAAGCTGTATAAACATACTATAGATCCATTGCGAAGTAAAGAGAAGAAGAAGTGCAATCCAATGGGAGCAAATAATAATAATATCAATGCCTAACAC